TGCCAGGTCAAAAACATTTTTTTCATTTTTTGGACTTATAATTCAACTTACGGATTTGTCCTTTTGGAACAATGTTTGGAACAACTAGAACAATCTATTGCGGTATCAGAATGTTCGATTTTCGAAAAGTGGGGTGCCAGCTCAAAAAAACATTTTTTTTGTTTTATTCGAAAACCGTTTCGAATGAAGCAATATCACTTTGGAACAATGTGGTACAAAGTCAGAACAATCTGGAACAACTTTCAAAATTATAAATTTCAAAAAGTGGAGTGCCAACTTCATACACTCACACTGGGATTGTTGTAAAATGGTTTAAGTGCAATGAAGTTAGGAGCTCATCGAATTGTCAAAATTGATCATCATTTCTGACAGACCTACGCAATAATATTATAATTAATAATATAATTAAGGACAATATTTACTAATAATGATATTAAAACTAGTAATAATCATCATTATTATTAATTACAAAATTACTAAATAAATTCGTCAATAATAGCTGTCAATGTTGACAGTTCAATGAGTTCCCAATTCCAATTTCATTGTGTCTCATACTGTTTTACAACTAATCAAATTCATTCTGCATGAACGAAGGGTCACTCAAATTTGAGTGACTATCAGTGCTCGAGTGGAATTTCGTTCGCGAAGAGATTCAGAAAGCAATCTCGTCGAAGACTGAAGCGGCACGAATGTACTCATAATATTATTTCCATATTTGAAACTGAAATATCTGCTATATACGATTCGGTTGGCATTGCCATGTTTCCTGCTCGCGTCAAGTAAGATGTATTAGCGAGAAAGCAGAACATACCCTCAGTCCACAATCTTGCTTTAATCTTTAAGTCGTAATAAATTGACCAACCAGTCGATTATTTTAAAAATAATCAACTGTGGTTGGTCAATTTCTTACGGCTTAAGAATTAAAGCAAGGTTGTGGACAAGGGAGTATAAATCTTTCGGTTGCAATTACCAAACATTCGGTCGATCCCGCTTTAATCAAACTTTGGTTTGGTATCAAATGTTCGCCTCGACAAGAGAATTCCTTCCTCAGTGTGGCACTCACCTGGTCGCGTTGATCGTGAAGATAGTCTCGATGGAGCGGCGGTCGAGCACCCCGCCGCTAAGCAGGTACTGTACGCCGATCAGGGCGAGGACGACGCACGCGAGCGCCTTGTAGATGTGGGCACGATGCCACAGTGCCACGGCTGCGGCGGCCACAGTCATTGCATGCGCGAGACACCATAACTCCCTCCTAAGCCTGCCGGTTAGAGGAGCGCCGTGCACCGCAAGGCGCCGTTGCTCCCCTGCGCTGGCCGCCGCTTCCTCGGTTGCAGTTGCAGCAGCTGCGGCGGCTGCGGCCGCACCGCGCGCGATCGTCCGGCCCGCTCGCGGCGCCGCTGCGGCCGAAGAAGACCTCTCCTGACGGGCACGATGGGAGCGAAGGCCGCCCGGGGCTCCTCACTTCCGCCCGCCAAGAGCATCACCCTCGCCGGACCCTCGCGACCACCCCCGTCGGGAAGACCTGGTTACGTCTGCACAGAACAACAGAAAAAAAAAACTTGTTGAGATTAAAGAGTTCCTTTTTTTTCCTTCTGCTTCTTCTATTGGAGAGAGAGAGAGAGAGAGAGAAAGAGAGAGAGTGTAGCGGAAAGGAAGGAATTAGGTTAAAAGTTTGTCATTTTTCTCTTAAATACTCGCATTCGAATGTTAAGAGGAAAATAGGAAGTTCTAGTCATAAAAAATATCTAAAGAAATAACTAATATATCCTGCTTATTTTACTCGTGAAAATTGTTAAACCTTCGGTATAGGATAATTCCGTTTCTAATTTTCTTTGGACGACGCAAAGAAACTCTTGCACCAATCTAATATTTTCAGTTTATTTTCTTTCCTATAATTTTATTTCAAAAAAAAAAGAAATAAGTAACATCACGAGTAACATCACTGATTCCGTCGTGCAAATAGAAGCGCATATGGTCAGCCTCTTAGGATTAATTGACTACTTGGGTGCAAAAACTTTTACCAGTGTTATCGGCTTATTCATTTCTGTCGAACCGCGATAAAGCCGATAAAAGCGCGGTAGGCATGGCCGAGCGTCAGTTGACTCCAATTAAGAGATAATTGTTAATAAGGAAATTAATCTGACACGTCGGACGTTATCTCCTGTAAGTAAAATTTACGGCGCGATAAACGTATATTTCAGAGGATGATAAGCCATATTTTTCTCTCGGGGTCTTTCGCTCTCTCGACCTCGCCGCGCTCAAGGCACCCGGCTAATATCGCCGCGGCGCCATTAACACCGCGAGCTGCGAAATTTATCGCGGGGATGCCTGGAAAAATGTAATAATGCCGCGCCCGCGATGTCGTATAGCTCCCGCCGCGAGTTACGAGTCGAGCCCGGCTCCGAATAAAAAAGAAGAATCCTCGGAAAGATACGGCAGGGGACAGGGGGAGGAAGGGAGGGCGGGGGATTAAAAACGTCTCGCGTATACGCGCGCCCACCGAAGGAGAATTTACCTGAGAGCGTTAATTACATTGTTAACTTTTAACGGGACGTCTCTAATTTCGTAACAGCGGCTACCCTTTTGCCGCCGTCTTGGCGTCTCTACACATTCGCGCGAGAATAATCCGCGTAACAATGTCCAATTACCGAAATTATTTCGCGCGTTCTTTTCCCGCGACGGAGCTATTCTTTCGGTTAAAGTAGCGCGACAGGCAAAATAGACGATAATATAACGTCGCAACGCTCGAAATAAACGCTGAGAAAAGGGAAATAGAAAGCATTTTGTCGCGATAAAATGTCGTGAGAAAACGTTCCCCGCCCGTCCTTTATTCAATAACGCGAGATTTGTATTTTTCTACCGTAATAATTATCGGAATAGCCTCGCGGAATAGTCTGTGTACATCGAGACAGTCTTTTAAAGGCACATTAGCCGTCCGTAGCGATAAATCATATAAATAATATTGCTAATGCTTTCTCTCTCTCTCTCTCTCTCTCTCTCTCTCTCTCTCTCTCTCTCTGTGTGTGTGTGTGTGTGTGTAGAATTACGCTGAAAGATTTATGACGGGAGTGGAAACGAGCTTTTGCATTTTAAAAGACCTTAAGTAGCGTCGCTAAAATGGAGAAAAAATGGGAAATGAGAGAAAAAGAAAGTGAGAAACGCCGCATTATAATACTTCCGTATTTTTATATTATAAAATTATGCATACTTTGAAGCGCGCGTACACGCTGGATGCAAAAGAGGAACTTCCGTTGTCGCGCGAATTAACGTTACAATGTGCTGCAGTTTTACACGAGATAACAAATTGAAATCTCAGTTGGTAATAATATTAAGTGAAAAACAGATATTTTAGTATTATCTTTTATCGGTTTTTCTAAGAACAAGTTGATAAAAATCGGGAGATTGTGTGTGAGTATTTGTTCACAATAATATCTATTTTATCATAATGTCAGCAAAAAATTTAGATCAAAAGAAAAAAAAATATGTGTGAATGAAGAAGTTAATATTGATCTGTTAAAGCAAACAAGTGACATTTTTATCGTCACGTCCATTTCCGTCGAAGGTAACTCGCGCTTTTCACTCGCAGAGAAACTCTCGAATCAGCCCGGCGCGATTTCGAAGCGCGTAGAGAGATGAAGGGGCAGAGGGGAGGATTCGAAAAAGATTCGAAAAGATTAATTTACGGGTATACAATCTCTCTTAAAGTGCATCAGTGAATAGTCACTGATATCAGTTATAAGTATAGCACTGAGCACTTTCAGTGCAACATTTAAAACTTAAGCAAATCAGTGTATATTCACTGTTTTCAGTGATGTTTTAGTTTTCAATGATGTTTCACTAATTCATTTTAAGAGAGATGGATTATCCGAGACGTTCGTTTATATACGAGCCGGCGCGCTAATAGCGTTATCGAGACGTGGCGGTGAATCCGATACTGGCCGTTGCCGGGGAAATCGCAATCGGAACTTCATCGGTTCAAACTACCCTGCGCGCGCGCATACGCCCACGTTCTGCCTTTCCACATCACGCGGACCGAAACTAATCCGAGTTTATGCCCCGGGCTCTCGAATGACCATGTTTAACGAGTTGCCAGACTTATCGGGTCGCGACGATAATTCGGTCGATTGTTTCGACGCGCAATCTTTATTGCAGTAACTTCCCCATTAAAAAGTGATTACCGGCTTTCGTCATCGCCGGCTGCCGCCGACGACGATTCGGCCGCGATCGATCTCGGGCTCGGGTCCCAATTGCGCCGCGAGCTTCGCGATCTCTTCACCGCCTCCTCACGCTTGGATTAAATTCCCAATTGATTAAATTCGGTGTGCCAAAGTATCGATCAATTTTGCATCGCGCGCGCGCGCTTCTAGAATTCGGGCACTGAAATTACTCGCCGATCTGTATTCGTTAAGTTTCTTGAAGCCCTTGGGTACATGTCATGGTCATTTTAATTAATGACGTCAGAGAATACATACTCGAAATTTCTGCAAAGTACGTCGAAATATAAAAGATATATTGAAAATATGACACTTGCATCGATTACACACCTCACTTACAAATAATTCGGACATTTTCCTTTCAGGAGTTTCTCGGCGAGTAGTCAAGAGATTTAAGCGAAATTTCACTCGAAGAGCACAGTGACAGTTGAATTTTTCACTCATATATATATATATATATATATATATATATATATATATAAAGAGAAAGAGAGAGAGAGGGAGGGAGAGATCGAGTTCTCCACTGTGAATTGTTGAGCAAATATTTTCACAAATAGGAAAATAAATCTGACGTACTGCGCGCCGACACAGGAATAAAACTGTAATCATTTGAAATATTTACTCGTATGGATTAAAAATCCATTCTAAATTAGAGTTAACACGTTCGTGACTATGCGTCACATGCCACGATGTTCCACATGCGCGAAAGCGATAAATTTTCATTCCACGTGAACATAAACAAATTAAATTCGTTTTACATTATTAGACGAAAAAGCGGAAAATGTTGAGTGGTCTCTGGCGGACGATTTCTCGGATAAACAATGGTAGTGACCATGTTAAACATTCAGTATTTCATTATTGCTTCGAGTGAATCTCTGCTCATTTTTAGTGAGATTTCGTCTTGATTTTGCAATGAGAAAACTGAGAAATTCCAAGAGTACGCTTCGGTATGTTATAAGAGCTACTTCCATTACAACCCCTATTAAGCTAGCCTGCTTACCTCCCTCATATACAATAGTTATTTTGCACCAGAGATAAAAGTCATCAATTTTTATAAATTTTAAGCTGAACTCAAATATAGTAAGCAAAATGTTTCATTGGTAAGAGATGCACGACAATGGATTTATACATATTTTCCTTCAAAATTAATATTATTTTTATGTTTAGCAAATTTTTGCAGAAATATGCAAACACTGCTACGTTGAGATCAACATTTTGATGGTAAGACCTTGTTAGAGCCCTTTCTCAAAAACTGTAAAAAAAAACTGTAAAACTAAATTTAAACTGTAAAACTAAATTTTCTATTGTAATCTTGTTGTTCAGGTTGTGTTTGAATTATGCAAGAAATATATCAAAAGAACTCCATACAAACTAAAAGTTAAACATTGTTACTCAGTGTTATTAGAACGCTGTGTACGTTGGTTCATAGCATATGCATTCAGTTTTTCCTTTATCCTAATTTTTCTCTCCTCTCTCTTTCTCTTTACTCTATCCTACTCTCTCGCGCGCATTTTCCTTTCCTCTTTTGTGTTAAGGCAGACGGAAGACGAATATTCATATACTCCGCGGGGCAAGAAAAGAGCCGGAATATTGCTTCGTCTTTCGCTTTTGCTCCTATCTCTCTCTCGCATGCTTCGACGCTGCTTCAACAATGCTAAGGTAGGCCATGCTCCGTCTATTCATACCGCGCTCGTGTTTAATATACAGTCGTAATTCCAACCCTCCTTCTCCTACTCCTCGCGCCCCGTCGCCCTCTCCGGTTACTGCTACCGGCTATCCGCGCGTTATCGTCCGGCTCCACTCTAGCGTACGATATAGAGCGAGTCGCCCTGATTTCTCCTTAAAAATAGACGGACGGGGGCCGACCGTCGGGATCGTATCGACGTGAATACGAGAGAGGACGAGTTATCGCGCTTGTAAACGCCATCGGAGTGGAGAATCGCGGACGGACAATTGAATGTCGCGAAGGACCACATTTTATCAACGTACGATGCACAAGCCCATTAAGTGATGTACTAACAACATTTGTTCCAAATTAATTCCACGCTGAAAATAAGTCGCGCACATTGGAAAACGATATTTCCGACAACGAGTGGTGCGCGTGAAATGATCAGGAATGTCATGTTTCATCGTGTACGATCAAGACTTAAAATCAAATGCCGCTTGCGAAATATCTCGGCTCGCGTTTTGGCCCAGTTTCTCAGCTAAGACTCGCAAGACGAACTTGCGCGACTCGATAAATGAATTTCAAGAGTTGAATTAGGTATTACCAAGGTTATGCTGTGTACCTCAAGATTATATCTACGCGGATTGTTTGC